TTCAGTTGCTGATGAACTGGAAGGACTTCGCTGCTAATTGACCCATGGAGCCGTCAAACTAATACTGAAACTAAGTCAACTAATGAAAAGATTACGAACAAAACTTTATGTTTAAGTTGTAACCGAATATATTTTTATGCACTGCACATTGCATAATGTTCGTGTTCTTCAGGCCATCCAATACCATCAAATGAATTGCTCAACCTTATTTTGTTCTAAGCAGAAATAATTTATGAGTGATGATCACTGTCACAATATCGCAAAATTAATCAATATTGTGGTATAAATGACTATGGTTGGTAATGGCTTGGTATCTTAAGTCTTAAGAAATAAATCGGAAATCAATTTCTCTGATTAAAAAGATTACCTTATGTCATCATAATTGATTTTTCTGTTTATTTTTCCGATCCGTAAAGACAATTTGATTTTTTTGGGGGGTTAGAAAAACTAGCTAAACTAGCGAACTTCAGTTCATTCGTTTCAGTTGTTCAGTCGCACATCAAAATTATTATATGTGGCCAGAGTGGTTTTGTTTTTCTAAGCATTAAGGCAATGACATGTTTTAGTTTATTAATCTATATGAATATGAAGTTTCTCTCCTCTGAATATATTTAGTATGTAGTATATAGTATATATTATATAGTAATATGTCTGCACCCAATTTTTTCAATTCATGAAATTCCGGAGCACTCAAAAAAATGAAAGTGTTTGTACATTGGATAAATTACTTTGTAACTTAATGTACATTCAATCATCACTACGACATTGCGCTTTGCTTATTGAATTGCTTCTTGATTGGAGGTGGACCCAGAAGACCAGCATAGCAACCATGCATTACTCAATTAAACGGCGGATTTTCGCATGCCGGAATTTCTTAGCACATAAAAAAGGAAGAATCGGAACGAAAGATTATTTAAGATTTATTATTTAGTAAATGATAATTAAAAATTTATTTTATTATTTATTTCTATTATTAACTAATGATACGAATGTAGAACTCTAAATAATCAAAAGCGGAAAATATTTGAAAATTTCGATTTAGGCTCACATCTAATATATGCTTTCTATTGATTTCGTAGAAAATATTTGAGTCGTACTGGTGGCGCTAAAAGGCAAACTTGTGTAAACTAAGCTAGTGTAACATTGCCGCAATTATTATTTTCATTATTTTTCATGTGTAAACGTTTGCAATAGTCAATTTAAGACAAAATTATATACTAGATCATGTTCTGAACATATTATTGGCACCATGTGGCAGCTCTCAAATATCTAGAAAACATTCATTTCACCCAAGATTCAATTTGCACATGAGAAAATAAACCGATATTAGACGAATAAAAAATGAATTTAATGTATTTCATGAACATTGTTATTGTTGTCAATATATTTCATAAACTGAATGTTATTTAACAACATGCACTTGTTAAATTAAAAATTAATGAAATTGAAATTATTAGTTAAATTTCCTAATCCTTTGAATTAATGAATTAAACAACACAATAATGTAGGTAAAACAAATTTATTCGTTAATATCAATAGAAATCGAATCACCAACAAATTGAAATCAATTTCTATCGCCTGTACGAAAGTTGTATTGATTTTTGTAATTTTTTACCTAAGTAAATTTTATTTAAAATTCATGACTTTAGAATAAAAATTACGAGACAAAATGTACAAAGATGCACTTCAAAGTTGGAGTACGTCACTCAACCTCGAGCCTCGTATCCGAAAATGTAAAATGGCATACAAAATTTTCTGGTTTGATTAGGAACATTAAATTATTTTCAAGAAAGTGTTCAACAAGGCCATGCAAGAGCACATGTTTAGTCTTGAAATGCCTCGTATCTTACGGAATAACTGAAATCTATAAGCGATTTCAAACCCACCGTCCGTTGAAAAGATTTGATCAAAAGGCCAGTCTAGTCAAGAAAAGTACAAGAATCGGCGACAGGCCTATCCTGGCCTATTCTTCAATGCCGAAGATACTATACTATACTAAGTGTTCTCGCTTCGAATCACCGACATGTGGAACAGCCTCACCAATGACATCGCTGACGTTTCGAGTATAAACGCGTTTAAGAACAGACTAGATAAAGCTATGAAAAAATATATGTACTAACTTGGAATGCCTAGAACCGTATCGAACCCGGTGGGAGTCTAGTATCTATTTCAAACTATCGTCAGATTGGAAAAGATCCGGTCGAAGGACTTTTTTTTAGATCTTCTGTGGACAAGTCAAGAAAAGTACAAGAATCGGCGACAGACCACATCAGGCCTACTCTTCAGCGCCGACATCACTATGTTTTGGTATGTTATAGTCGAAAATTTCATTTCTCAGCTGGGTTTAACTTGTTGCTACCTTACCCGGCCATTTAACTTTAATTGAAAATTTAATAATATTTTCATTACAATTTTATTCCAGGGAAATCATACTTAAATTATTAATCTCCTTCAATATTATTATATTGCAGAGCCTACATTTTGGTAATTTGGGTTCTTGCTTTGTACACAATTTCTTATTATCACAGCGCTTGCATTTTACGACTACAGTGCTCGGTCAGTCACATCGCTTTGCTGTGTATCCGTGCTTCGCTGCATGACACCGGGTGCTGCTATAAACGCAGTGGAACGGCATGAAGATTGTTGATATCTTTTGATGATTAATTAGACATCGTAATGAAACATGCGGTTGGTATGCCGGATCAAGGTGTCTGGTCGAAATAAAAGTAAGATCATCTCAATTTTAGATTCCAAACACACCATACAAGGAGTCTCATAAGGAGATATTGTTCACCCTATAGCAGGCACAATATTAAAAGATAACTTGCATGGATGGAGGCCTGACGTGTATCAGTGTGCTTGCAGTTAATTTCAACCGGAAAAATAAGGTCGTGTTATGAAACGCTTTGCGAAACGAATTCCAGCACAAATCAAGATCGTAGGGCGGGTCGAAAATTTTATTTTTATTCATAACGAAAACTTTATTTATATCATGAAAGTGAGCAAGCACTTCGGTAAATATCCAAAGACATTCATGACTATTTTTTATATTTTTCATGTTTGAATTTTTGATTTCCCCTTTCCTACATATTGCTGATGTATCAGCACAATTATAGCGAACCAAGGCGTTCAAAGGTGCTATTACTATCAATTAAAAAAATTATTAACGGGAAAATATTAGGAAGAAATTACCAGCAGTCACCACGCTATATGGCATTCCACATAACCGAAGAAAAGAAGATTTATAATATTAATTTTTCGGAATATTAACTCCTCCATACTAAAATAGTCCGAAATTCAATATTTCTAGTGCATTATTTTTAGAATATTTCGATTTTAGATGAATATTTGTATAATTCAAGGCAAACTGTTCAGTGCACGTGTAATCACTTCTCCAGTGAATCACTCCACCTCACACCTCGTATAATATTTAATAATATTTATAACCTTGCACTCACCTGACTCTTATGACATCCTTTCCTCTCACTGAAACAATTGACACGACACCGCGAGTTTTCCGACATCGAATAAGATTATTATATGAAGGTCTTGTCTTTCCTGTTCTTTATAGAAATGAATTTCTTTAAGTCATAAGTAATCAAACGGAAATCCATTTCCCTGAATAAAAAGATTATCTTATGTCATCATAATTGATTTTTTCTGTTTATTTTTCCGGTGTTGATTGTCTTTAAATTGGTTAGATTGAATTTTGATATTAGTTCAAAAAATCAAACATACGAACAAGGTTTCTTATAAATTCATTGATAGGAAGTATAAATGTTATTCCAAATACAACAATAAAATGTGGTACAATGTTTTTACTGTACTGAAATACCGTTAAAAAATTAGCGCTCAAGTTAAGAAGATGAATTTTGGTCTGACGGGACGTGCCGATTTAACTGCTTCCACCAAAACTAAAAACGAAGTGTCTTCTTGTACAGACATTCCATTGCTCATGAACAGCAATTATTTTCGACTCCCCTTGCCGGAAAAATATGAAAACATTATACCATTAAACGATGACAGGAAAAATGACGATTTGTAAAAGAAACAACCAACTGTCGCCGAGAGCATTGATCATTCACCTCCACATTCGTACGATTCTCTGCACATTCAACATAGCAGTGCAAAACATATTGTGACTACATACCTGATATTTTAAAGGACACTATTATACTCTTGCATATTAGTCTCTATTATAAACAATGCAGCCTCACTGGATTGTTTTAAAAGCTTGCCTTCTGCCACGCAAGACATTTCAAGTCGCAACCAACTTAATAATGCGAACAACCATCAGCACATCAATCAGAGAAATTTTTTCTACGACATTCAGGGAAAAGATGACTTACCTAGGCCTAGTTATAGTTAAAGAAACACGGAGGCCATGGAATAAAAACCGATACTAATATTTGATATATTTTAATTGTTCAAAATCAATTTCGCCTATTGTTGGTCACGGCAGCAGTGCCAGAGATCTCAAATTCTCAAGCTTAAATTTAGATTATTCTCAAGTTCAAGTTAGATTTAGATTTAGCTAGTATTTTAAGCTTTTCTTGAGAATATTATGAATGATCATCCTCTATATTAGTGAATGATGAAAAATATAAAAAATTCATCCTAGCATATAAATCCAAAACTGACAGAATCCAAATGAAATATTTGTAATATTTTCATCTTTCTACATCAAGTTACTTTAAGCAATTTTTCCTAGTATATTAATTAGTTTTCCTTATCTCATATTTAATTAATTATGTGTAATAGTTCAATTATATAAGATGCAATACACTTGAAAGACAGTCATCAATTACTGGGCAGCAAACAATTCCTTGTATTGTCTTGTCTTCTGTATTTTTTTAACGTACATTCCGCCTTATCCATCACAAACTAATTTTCTAAAAGGTCTGTCATTCCATGGAGTGGAACCCAGTGGATATGAGTACCAAGATGGAACAATAAGTTGTGCTTTTTAGCCCCAGCTAACTTTGTGAATTCTGCCATGTAGTTCCTCCAACTGAAGAGCCCACAATCGAAACAACAGTTCCTCCAGCGACAACAGTTCCTCCAACTGAAGAACCCACAACCGGAAACCCAGCGACAACAGTTCCTTCAACTCAAAGGCCCACAACTGCAGTTGTAACAACAAAAAAACCGAACATTCTACAGAAAATAATAAATTGGAAACTTAAATGGATCGAAAAAATCAAGAACAAGCTCGAAAAAATTCGCGCTAAAAATAACAAGTCCAAGGTAAAAACAAAATTTATTTGCACTCTCAAATAACTTTTTAGTGGCCACGAACTTATTGATGATGATATTGATTTATTCATGATCACCGTTTATATTTAGATTCCCTCATTATTCTGTTATATTAAGAAAATTTATTACTTCTAAAACGTCTAAACAATAAAAAAAATAACGGACTACCTTCACTCTGCTAACAAACTTTCTTCTGCACCTTTCCAGTCGACATCAGGCGGGTGGAAATTCTTTGGATGATTTCTTGGGATTTCTTCGATGAGCTGCCAGCATCCATCGTTGGTGAGTCCACCTAAGAGGAAGTCAAGAGATAAGCGATTAATGCTCACACATTTACATAGCAATTAAAAAATAATCAAACTTTTATTAGGGTTAGAATTGATAATAATTCTATTATTTGAAAAAGATCTCTTATTTATATTTACATTTTTTACCACGTTTTTCTTGACTTCGTTTTGTGTGTGTCTGTCATCAAAAATTCAAACCTTAATTTAGAGCACTTCTAAACATCCTAGTTAGTTGAAATTTGGCATGCATGTTTATGCTGCCTAACAATTCAAGATTTGATCATCAGAAATAATAATTTAAAATTTTTTTTCTGAAGAAAAAAAAATTAAAAAAAAACACTAAAATTCACGGTTTGGAATTGAGTTTTTTCTCGAACATCCGCACTTGCCAACCCTAGAAATTGATTTGTATTGTGCCACGAACTAGAAAAACCACGTTTTTCTGGTTTTTACAAAACTAAAAATACTTAAATAAATCAAATAAAAAAAAGTTTTAAAAACCACGTTTTCTTAACGGACAAAAGAGAAAAACATTTACTCTTACATAACATTACATGACATTTTACATAACTTAAATGTTATGTAAGAGTAAATGTTTTTTTATTTGATTTATTTTTAAGTTTGTTTATTTGATTTATTTATATTTATTTATTTTATTTTATATTTTTTTCCTTTTGATATTTTCAACATTTAAATCGATACTAAAACTTCATTTGCGACACAACGTTCACATTTTAAAATTTGTCTCCAATTGTGAGTTTTCGATTATAGAAGGGTGTTGCTCAATCCCTGCTAATATGTTATTCGATGTGTTAAATATACGTACATATAGTCAGTATTAGTATTCATTTTGTAACTTCATGGAAATTCGGAATTATTTCAATTCACTTCTATGAAATAATATAAAGTATTTTTTCCAAAATGCAAGTATTTTCTGAATTGTCTCAAACGTTTTTTGGATACTATTTTTCTTGGATACTATATTTTTTTGATACTTTTTCTTGGCTACTATTTGATTAAGCTTCGTAGTCTTTTTAGACATTCTTACAATATCTATGACATCACGTTAAATCGTTGAGCTCACTTTTTGTAATTCACAAACGGAAAGACTAAATTTAAATTTGGGCAAAATAAAACTTTATTCAGATGTAAAAAGATGCACGTAATTAAAAATAAATAAATATTTGCTTCTAATCTAGTATGTCCTCAGATCAGCAAAAAAAAAACTGAAAGCGCCATTGCTATTGGCAGGCAAGTAAAAAACATTAGTATCAATTGACTAGTGATTCAGAAACTGAAGGCTCTGCATTCATAAGTTTGTACGCTTAACAAAATAATAAACCTTAACGGTAGTATTCCAATTAATTATATAGAAATTAGAGAAATTATATAGAGAAATTATATAGCTGCGGTTGCATTAATCCTCCCTGCAAGCCAACCAAGCTTTGGAATTTTTTATTTTGATTCAAATTTATATGTCGCTTCGACGCAAATTCTTCCGATCTCTTATTCTGATGTCCTTTAACTCACAATAGCAGGTTTTATATCATTGATTTGAAGCTGAATGCGATCTAAATAAGTAATCGAATTTATCATCAACTAAAAATCTACGCATGCATTTCTAGGCGAGCTGGTGTTGAGCACAAATTAAAAAGTACTGCCTTCATAATTTTTGGTTAGATACGTTGAATTAATGTCGCATGTTACGGGCAGTAATAAATAATATATGCTCTAATCTATTCATTTCAGTTGCGCGACGTTCACCCAATTCACGGCAACTACACAGCCGGTGCCTACAACGTCCCATAAGATTACTTCTTCTAATTGTTATTGTAATCATGTCATTGTTCCTTACTTCTGAACATCTACTTTCATGGAAAATGCTTGTACTCTTAAAATACTATCTTTGTCTCGTTGAACAAAATACAAGGACGAGCAATCAAGGTTTGAAAATGTAAATAAGAGTTAAAATAAATTTTCGAATTCAGATAATGTTGTTTATTTTCTATGTTTGATAGGACGTATTCGTAACACAAAAACAGCTTTTACCAGATCTATAAGAATATAATGTTCAATATTGATCATTAAGGAAAGAATTTGTTCTACATTTAGCCTTCAAAAGCCGAATGGCAGCGCAAATTTTATCTGGTATTTATATTAATATTTTTTGATATCAAAGTTTTATTAACAAATTATGTAAATTAATTTAGAAGAGAAATAATTCTGATAATTACAGTAAACCAGGCATCATTAAATTATATGAAAAAGATATCATAATAGCTATTATTAAGGAAGAAAGTGAGCAGATACTAATAGCCCGTTAGGTAATATTACATATTATTATATATAATATATAATATAATAATATCATATAATATATTATTATATATATTATATTATATAATTCAATATAATATTATTGGCTCAATATTTTCGAGAATTTTCATTTGAAAACATTCTGTGTAGAGCAAATTTTCATATAACATAGACACCAACTGCATCACAGTTTCATACAGGTGACAGGAGTTCGAACCATTCAAAATTCGATTTTCCGATTCTCAAAAGCCGTTATTGCTAAATACATATCATGACTTAAAATATCATTGAGTCATCTAGTGTATCTACATAACTTGCGTTGATAAATCGGTGTTGAAAACTAAATAATGGAATGTTCGCTGATGTATTGTTTCTGTCAATATGTGTGTATCAAATTCTTGCATTTTAATTGTAAGGGGAGAATAAAGATATTCTCGCGGGAGAGAAGGGTATTCAAAAACTTTTCGTTGAAAAGATATTGAGTGTACAAGATTGAAATGATTCTAAACATAAATCTGGATTTTTTGATGATACATCCATCAACCATCGCTTGAATAGAATCAAAGAAAATAGCTCAAATAGATTTTTAGTGTTTGTCTCGAGTTTGAACCATTTTCTGTTTAAAATCCTGTTTCTCGCAGTGCTATGGTCCGACTTGCAAATTCATCGCGTAGAAATAATAAGTCTACGCGGTTTTAAAATCTCGTTAAATTTGCTTTAAGTCTGCGGCAGATATTTTTACGCCTGATGAGATGCCTTCTGTATCATGTTGCACTAGCAGAATTTGGACCACGATGAGTCCATATATATTCGTATTCTATCCATAAGATCTCTATTGAATTTCGATTTGCCAATTCAGTAGATACTGAATTTCTCGGTTGTAGTTTATAATATTACTTCAGAGTCATAGAAAGTGATTTATGTTGATGTTATAATCACATTGTGAGACTTGCATTTCACTGGCTTAATTTCCGAGAGGAATAAGGAAATAGTAATAGTTATTTCCTAATAATATAATGGAAATCCTGTGGAAATAATAATGCATACACAATTTTATTCGTACAAACATCCATAGTTCTACCTACTGCAGTCATGTACTATACTCAAGTGTGGAGAACTGGAGAGCTGTTCACACTTTATTGCACACATAAAAAATTTCTCAGTATTGCTTCTTTAATTGAAATTCTTAGGGTGAAGCTAAGCTTATTGTTTTATACTGCATTCAAGTACTATACTTTAAGTGTGAAGAACCGGTAAGCTCTTCAATAGAGTTTCGAAATGACTGTAAGTCACACTCGAAATTATTAGAGTTGAAATTAGTATTATTAAGTTCGATATGACTATAATTCACATTTGAAATTATTAGAGTTGGAAATTAGTACTATCAGAGTTTCGATGTGACTGTAAGTCATATTTGACATTAGAGTTCGAAATTAGTATTATTAGAGCTTCGATATGACTGTAAGTCATATTTGGAATTACAGTTTGAAATTAGTATTATTAGAGGTTCGATATGACTGTAAGTCATATTTAAAATTTTTAGAGTTTGAAATTAGTATTATTAGAGCGTCAATATGACTGTAGGTCATGTTTGAAATTAGTATTATTAGAGTTTCGATATGTGTGTAAGTCATATTTGAAATGATTAGAGTTATAAATTAGTATTATTAGAGTTTCGATATGACCGTAAGTCTTTTCCAGTCTTGAAATCGAATGAGTCGTTGTTCACTTCATTAAAACTAAATGATAGATAAAAATAGTGCTTCTATAACAGTAAAAGATAGAACGGAGTGGCCTTGACAGTCAAAAGTCAAGATGTTCTCTTCTCGAACCACTTTACGACTAAACTTGAGTGTACAATAAAGACGCTAGCGGCGTCACTGTTTGCCGCACCCTATATAAGCCAGATCACTTACAGGTCTTATGATATACATCATAGATCTACTCGGAGCAACACGATTGCAGATCAGCGGCGTTAACAATCGAAAAATTATTTTCTTCTTTCAGCGTGCTGTTCTTTCAAGAAATTGTGATGGCGAAATTCCCAGTTATTTTCTTAGCTTTAGCGATGATCGCTTATTCGGGACTCATTCAAGCTCAAGACAATGATGCAGAAATGGACGATGATTCAGCCGCTAGCGGCACCACAACAACAATTACACCAATTGTGCAACAAATCTGGAAATGGAAACTAGGACTGATTGAAAACATAAGAAATGAAATAAAGAAAATTAAAGAAAATAAAATAAAAGCAATTAACGGAACAATGTCTGGATCTCAAAACATCTTCCGCCAGGCGAGTGTTAATATAAATGAACATTACGCTAATATCTTTTCCATTATTAAAATAGATAAGTTTATCAATGATCATTTATCAATGATAATTATCAATGATATTAATTAAATAATTATCAATGATAATTAATTATCAATTATTTTCTCGTTAAACTGTAAGTCTTTTCTCTATTAAATGGATTTGAAACGATTCATAAATTATAAGATTAATAATTTATACCATTGCATAATGATGATTTCAAATTTCTAACGATATTTTTGCATCACTCTTTTCAGATTTGGCATGGACTCTTCGGATGATCATCATTCCAGCCTGAAAAATACAGACTGATTCTACCACATGCCAGCTGAAGCCAATAATGAAAGACAAAATTTATGTATGTATATTATAACAACAAAATTTCTATCAAAATATCGAGTAAGCAAATTCCGATATGAACTTTCTCTGAAGTGTTTCTAGAGAATTTTAAATTAAATAAAAATACGTTATTTTTGTGTGCGTTTACTGGATAAAATTTTCACATTGAATTGGCTCGATTTAATTGATTTAGCATACGATTGTAATTCACAAATATTAATGAAAGTTGAGTGTTATTCTTTTTTTATGTACTAGAATCGCGTGCCTTTTTTTGTAGATTTACGAATGTACATTCATTTTCTTGACCTGTTGTTGAGCTAAAACTTTGGGCTCAAACTTGCATGTCCTCGGCGAATCCCTGAATTGTAAGCTCTGTTGTAATTCTAAATTCTATGTCGAAATAGAATAAATTTTCTAGAGCTTATGTGGACTCAATTACTAGAACAACTGGAAAACCTTTTTAGAAAAGATAATTCTATTTCAACTGTGACATCAAGATTTTTTTCCTGCATTATAAAATCTGCAAATATAAGAGGTAGCAGCAATTGCATCGATTGATCTCTACAATTTATCATCATTATTTTAGGTTCATAACGATGAATTATTTGAGCATGCGACAGCTGATCGTCATTTGTATTTTGTTCGGATTCAAGAAGGGTGGTTAATTCACGGTTGCCTGTCATAGACTGTAATTTAATTTTTGATTAAACATCGATTCTTTGCTGTTTTTTTTTATTTCCATTTGGTAAAATGATCGTGCATGACATAAACAGAACACAAATTAAAGAAAATTTTCGGCAACGGAATAATAACATGAATAAGTATTTAAATTTTATTTATAATTGAACACAATAAATAATTCTTATGTTATTTTCATCATTTCATCCATTCTTTCTATGAGTAACGGTATGAAATGGCTCTCATCTTCAACTTGCTGCGAAAATTCGTCATCCGAATTAATCAGATTTAAATGACCTCTTGTGTCATGAAAATAACATATTTAGGAAACTGTTCATAAGTTCTAAATTGTATACACATGCATTCTTTTGAATAAATTATACGCAAATGTAATTGTTAACAATTAAGCTCACATTAAGAAATAAAACAATGTAACAAACTTTGGCGTTATAAGCGTTTTAATTACGCCACAAATAAATGTTTTATTGTCATTTCAACGAAATTTCTGCATAACTCAAAGAACATGAATGATCAAAAATGGAAAATTTTTCAATCTTTACGCTTAGACGCTGAACATTCGAAAAATTCGAAAACGAACGACCAATAATTGTACTGATATTTTTTCCTATTCAAGTTTTTTGAATGAAATGATATGGAATAAATAAATGCTTTAGAAGTTCGCATTCTTTATAGTAAATGCAGGAATTAGTAAATCAACTTTTTGTCGGAAAACAATGTCCTTCTGATTGCAAATTGTTCCACAGAAATCCCGTTTATCAGCAAATTTTAATAATTAAGTAATTTTTGATTACATGGAATAGAAATGAAATAGTGAATATATGAATATTTTAATTACACATGTACCTGCATTCTCGAATCTACTGTAAATAACATCTTAAGCTCATGATAATTATTAACAAAGAAATCTATGCATCTTAAAAATATAATGCAATAGCATGCATATCTGAGATTACTCCTCTATATTATTATTATTGTATGGGAAAGTAATTGTTCCGAATTCAAATAAAAAAGCTAAGGCCAAAGAGAGCTTTCTATTCAATGTAGTTTTTGAGCTGCAGGAGAAACATTCCAAAAACAATTCACTTTCATAGAATTTAAAGGCATGGAATTAAACATGAATGAATATGAAAGCCAATGAATATTTGGCACCATGCCAAATATTTATTGATTTGTCCGGTTATTGTACAGGGATTTGAAATTTGAAACAATTCTCAGATAACTTTAAAATTTTAGCGTTGACATTGAGAAGAGAACCTTACACAATGTGTTTATTTTCCACGAGTTAGCCAAAAAAATTGCTAGCCGATAGATCGCTGCACGA